CCAGATTCAAGCAATGAAACAGTAAAACCCAAACTACAACACTTGAAATAAGTTTCTGAATATCCAAAATTCAATCCATTTCAACCCAATTGCATGATTTTGTCATTTTCAATAGTGTTAATCAAGCAATGAAGATCAACAACCCAGAAACCAGACCAATTTCGAGTAGTTTTTAGCAGGGGAATGTAAGGAGTTCAAAAGTATTTTAGAACTTTCCAAAGAAGGCAACTGTTTCAGTTTTTTAGGATCTTTTTCTCTTTTTCCCCTTCCTTGAAATGCAAGGTAAGGTGCCTTATAGGCAAGCTATTAGGGTAGCCCTTAGGAAATCAGATTTTTCATTTTTACCCTTTTCATATTTTTGTTTTTGCTCAAAAGTCCTTAGCTTAGAACATCAGATTTCATGTAAGTCCCCACCCCAGCTTCCAAGAAGTTTCCTTAGGCAGTTACATCAAGATTCCCTAAGCCAATTACTCAGAATACCCCTCACACCCCTGCGTTTTACCCCATGAAACCAGACCAGATGGGTCAAACTTGACCCAAATTGAATCTTATAAGTCTGTAAATCCAAATTAAATCCCCTCTTGGGCTTTTTGATTTTTAAAGCCCAATTCAAACCAATAAAAAATTCACAATTTTAGGGACTGACCAAATTTGGGAATTCAACCCAATCAGAAAAACCCAAAAACCCTTTTAAAAGGAATCAGAAACAGAAGAGAAAATGGGAATGAACTAAATAACAAAACAAATGAACTAAACGTACTATTAAGCTAAATATGCAAAATGGGACAGACGGACAGATGAACCTATGATGAAGAGAAGAAAAGAGGATGCAGCAAAGAATAAAATGAAATCAAATGAAGAAAAAGAAAACATGCAAGACAAGGAAATGAAAAAGATACCTAACGAGGGCGGCCAAATCTTGAAATCAAACCCAGACCTTTGATTGTGGCCGAAATGAGCCTTAATTGTGTGTTTTCAAACGAAAACACACGAATAAGGTTAACTTCGACCTCAAATCTTCAATAAAACTCACAGATTCGAGTGTTGGGAATTTAGGGTTCATGTCTTTGAAATAAGATTCGAACAGTTCTGGGGAGATTCGACGAAAACGGAGTGGGGATTTGGAATGAGGGGGGCTTAGGGTTTATGTGGTGTTAATTTGGGGGTGATTGGAGGTAGCGCCGCCAGGCTCGAGGTGGGGAAATGGAGGCGGCAATCTAGGGTTTGTTTTGGTCTCTGAAGGAGAGTGAGTTGAGAGAGACGATGATAGAGGGGGTGTTTCGGACACTTATATAGTAAAATCAAACCAGTTCCGGACCGTTTGATCAATTGAGATCAACGGTCCAGATTAGAAATAACCGAAACGGGGTCATTTGGCTTGTTGGTGGGGGAACCGATTGGGGCGGATCTGGGCTTGACTTAAACGGGTTAATTGGGGAATTCTGGTTTGGGCTTGTGGGATTTGAGATTCAACAGGCCCAAATATCAAATCCTCTCTAATCCCTCTTATTTCTTTTTCTTTTTTTCAATTTCAAATCCCTTTTTTCAAATAAAAATAAAATTCTAAATTGATTCTTAAAACTAAATTAACCTACAAAATTATATTAATTACCCAACTAATAATTACCACAATAAATTAAAATCCAAATTGAAGGAAAAACTACCGAAATTCAAAATTAAAATTAAAAAGTGCAAAATAAACTATATTTGTAATTTTCCCCATTTTTATAAAACAACTAATTGCCAATTAATTCTAAAATATAGAATTAAATCCTAAAATGCAAATGCAACATATTTTGGTATTTTTTATTAATTAAACAAATATAAAAATGCATAGACAAATGCAAACAATTATCAGAAAATGCCACAAAATCCACAAAAATTGCAAATAATGATAAGAAATTATTTTGTTTTGAATTTATGGGAGTAACTCATATAGGGCAAAAATCACGTGCTCACAAGCAGAAATATACATCTCTAACCATGGTAGAAATCGACAAGAATTCTCCGACTCCCCTTTGCACAACAAGTCCGTCAGGGTTGAATCTTCCTATCTCAGCCAACCTACGCAAGCCACTAAAACACAAGGGCATTGCCGCGAAATACCCGTAAGAACTCATTACCTCGAACACCCCCAAGGAACTAATCATATACTTACTATACCGATCCGGCCTACTACCAAGCTACCCTATCTATCCGAGTTCCCTTCTGATTTACCTTCAGCTTGATATCCCTCCTTGCTATATCATCACAATTCCTCAACCCAGACTTACCACACGGAACCCAAGCATAAAGCCACACCGTCTAAGGCTCATAAGCCGCTGAATACCTTTTTTTTAAGTGTTCCCCAAAGCCATTGCCTTCACCTTCCCGATACTGATGTATGGAATCCCATAATTAATATAGAAAATACCACAAGTCTTGCCATCTTCCACTGAAAACTCAGTTTCTAGCCATAAGTACAACTTGAAAGCCTCCAATTATTGCATGTAGAGTTTTGAACACAATAGGACCATTCTCTAGAGTCATCCACTCTACTCAAACCGCAGTTAGATTGATTAAACGAACCGAACAACCTGCGCTTCACTAGCACTCTGACACTGTAGAATGTGACCTCATTCCAATATAACCAAGCAACTTCCTACCCTATGCACCGAGCATTCCTTACCAACCACAACTCAAGTCATTCCTCGATTCTCGTACACCCATAAAGCATAACATAGCCTTTATTGAAATTTCCTTTACTCGAGCCATAACTGATTCACAAATACACCTCGAACTGGAACCATTAGAGCACATAATCGTGCAATCAACTATTTAATAGCGGACTCCCCCACTTGGCTCGAAGCCATAAATCAAAACACGCACCATAACTCATAACGCATACACTTTATTGCTGCCATAATACCATAGTGAGATTAAACTCAAACCTTCATAAACTCATGAAAACACAGACCATCTGGTACCTTGAATCTTCTGCAAGACTCGCATTTATTCCTTGCGACAGTCAAGCCCACTCTCTTAAGCGACTCAAAATTCAAATTTCAACACTTATATTTCACTTGTAAATGAGACCTTCTAAAAGACACATAAGGATCATACAACCTAGGAATACTTCGCAGGAGATAACCCACTTGTTTTGCCTCCAACTAACATTTCTGTATACCTTCCACCGTCATAAACTGTACGCAGTCACTTAGTCTTCCTGAGTCTGAATTCATACCGCAACATGAAATTTACTTCACTCTCAACTAGGAAACATGAAAAGATCCTTAACACGCCCATAACTCGGAGCTATACCTCAAATCACGATGGAATTCAAGCACCTAATAGTTCTTCTATCCTCCCGCAGACCTTTCTTGTCGAATCAAGATTGTCACTTATATTTATTTTTTTTGTTTGGAGCAAGTTATGTGCTTGTTGTTGCCCCTCATTTTACTTTTCTTAACCCGAAAATCTGCTGAAAACAATCTCTTTGTCTTCTTGAAAGTAAGGGTAGGTCTGCGTACATACTACCCTCTTCTCACGTTCCACTTGTGGGATTTTATTAGGTTTGTGGAGCAGCCGAATACTTTCTATACAAGAGTGCATAAGTCTTCGACAACTTTTAATTCAATAGCGTTATGCCCCTTACTAGAAAAAATACATGAAATGGAGAGCCCTTTTATCATGGAGGTCCTTACTAATTTTCAAATTCAGCAATGGAATTCTCGAGTAAATATGTTATTCAAAAAAAATAAAGATAGTAATAATAATAACAAAGCAAATGAAATTCTAGCATGCCATCTTAACACATTAAACCTTTAAAAAATGTACTTTATTAAGTTCCTAAAAATTGATGTGCAAAAGTGAGCCAACCACAGCAGCCACTGAAAAATCTGCAAACGTTATAATTATGGAACAGTCGAATACTTTCTATACAAGAGCGTAGGGCAGCTCAAGCACATGTGTAGCCTAAAGCCAAGTTTAATATGAGGCTTAAAATTTTAAAAGACGGTTGAACACTTAAAGTAATGAAATCTTGGAGAAATAAAGTGGGAGAAAAAGGTGAATAAGAATATGAGAGAGAAAGAAAAAAAAAATATAGAAATTTCTGAAATATGAAGAGATTTGGAAAAGAAAAATTAACTTGGACAAACTAAAGAAGGAAATTCAAATGTTTACACATTATCTAATAAAAGAGTAAAAAGCTAAATTGTCAAATCTACTTAAATTGAAACATCGACAAAATAATTTATCTACCCAAATTTTTAGTAAATCAAATTGTTACTTTTTTATATATCTAAAAAGTTTTATTTTCTTTATATGAAATTTTTTACTTTTTGTATTAAAAATACTAAATATTATTATTTTTTTAAATACCCATAAAACTATTATTTTTTTTAAAAAAAAAAAAAGAGATCTCCAAATTTGGGGACCTAAGGCACAAGCCTTACTTGTGATAATAGTAGAGCCACCCCTGCAAGAGTGCATAATTCTTCGACAACAAATGTCTAAGTATTATGAGAAAAAAAATAATTAGTTACACTATCAACGCAATTTAATTACTCTATTTTCTATATTAGCATATCACTTTTAATATGAAGAGCTATCTCAACTTAACCTAATAATATAAAAATTCTTTATGTCAATACAAAAAATAAAATAAAACACTTTAAAACATTAGCCTTAAATTTCTGCTCAAGCTTCCTCATATCTTGGACTAGATAATGTTTTCATTAAATCAATAGGAATACATTTTGATTTACCAAAAGAAACAATATTAAATCAACATTATATTGGAAACTGAAATTCAGTAACAACCAAAATTAAATTGAGAGAGAGAACCTAAGCGTCAGATTCCTATTTCAAGATTTAATATACGAATACCAATGTGTGAGGCTAGCTGAAACTGTTCCAAAACTAGTATATATACGACTCAAAAACTTGTTATAAGTTGAAAACCTCATTATATAACTTGATATTTCAATTACTCTCAATTGATCAGAATCAAAAAAACTATGTATATGGTCAAAGTTAGTCCAGCTGGCAAACAAGATGGATCCCTTTGGGAAGAAAAGGGAGGAGTAGAAGTAGCCCAAATTTTTGTTTCTCACTATGATGACAAAGTTGTTGCACTGCAATTCCTTTTCTTTGAGAATGGGAAACTAGTTTTGTCAAAGAGACATGGTGTTGATAATTTATGTGAAAACTTCAATTCAGTTGACCTGGATTATCCCTCTGAGTTTCTTACTAGTATAAGTGGTTCAGTTCAATTAACAATGAATGGAGATAGTTTTTTGAGCTCAATATCATTTGGCACCAATAAGGGTTCCTATGGACCAATTGGAAAAGCTTCAGCTGCTGGCAATATTTATCACTTCAACTATCAGATAGGAAATGGTCGTTCTATTGGTGGATTTCATGGCAGCAAATGCCGTTATGGTATTGAGAGTATTGGGGTCTATGTGAAGACCATCAACATTTTTAATATCCTTCAGTTAAGGGAGAAGAAGAAATGGTAGTAGAAAAATTGCCGATATGGTATTTGGGTCTATGTTAAGACAATCACAACCTCCATGATCCATTTTAAAGATCCTTCAGTAAAGAAGAAGAAGGAGAAGAAAGACGACGACAATCACAATCTCCATAATCCATTTTAAAAATCCTTCGGTAAAAAGAAGAAGAAGAAGAAGAAATTTGCAAGTATTAGTAATAGTAGTAGTTGTAGAAATTTAATTCAACTATCTTTTACAAATTTCCAAATGATCTTGGTATTATAAATATCTGCCTCTATTTCGAATATGCACTTCTCAAATTTCAATGAGAAATATATGCAGTTTACTTAATAATTTTGTACCGATCCTTGTTCCTTTACCCTACTCTAATGATGTTGTCTGCTTTGGGCTTAAACCTGCAAAGTTTTAAAATGTGACACTGGGGTCTGTTAACTTATATACCTAATATCTTGTGTTTTGCTGATGTGGGACTTTGTCTAAAATTTGGGGTGTTACATACACCCCTCTTATGGACTCAGCGAGGACCCACAATCGGCAAGGCTGAAACAAAAGTGACTTTAATACTATTTGTAACAGCTTGCTAGTAATATTGTTCGCTTTGGGCTTAAACCCGTACGGCTTTAAATCGCGATAGTAGGGTCTAAGGTTTGTTAACTTATATACCCAACATCCTTCTTGTGTTACATACACCCCTCTTATGGACTTAGCGAGGACCCACAATCAGCAAGGCTGAAACAAACGTGACTCTAATACCATCTGTAACGGCTTGCTAGTGATATTGTTTGATTTGGGCTTAAACCCGCACGGCTTTAAAACGCGCCAGTAGGGTCTAAGGTTTGTTAACTTATATAACCAACATCATTCTTGTGTTTTGCCGATGGGAGACTCTGTCTAAAGTCCCGCCTAATCGTAATTTGCCTAAACTCAGTTGATCTTTGACCCACCATTGATGGGAGACTCTGTCTAAAGTCCCGCCTAATCGTAATTTGCCTAAACTCAGTTGATCTTTGACCCACCATTGATGGGAGACTCTGTCTAAAGTCCCGCCTAATCGTAATTTGCCTAAACTCAGTTGATCTTTGACCCACCATCGACAAGGCTGACACAAGAGTAACTCTGATACCATATGTAACCGACCACCCCACTAGGGATATTGTCCGGTTTAGGTCTAGGCCCGCACAGTTTTAAACGCGTCACAAGGGTTTAAGGTTTGTTAACATATATACCCAGTATCCCTCTTGTGTTTTACCGATGTGGTAACGTAATATCATGCAAAGTTGCAAACTTGGTGTTTGAAGCGTTTCAATAGAGGTGTGTGCTTTTAGAAATTCACTGAAGGGGAGTCTTGGCATAATTGGTAAAGTTGCTGCCATGTGACCCGGGGGTCTCGGGTTCAAGTTGTGGAAACAACCTTTTGCAAAAATGTAGGGTAAGGTTGCGTATAGTAAACCCTTGTGGTCTGTCCCTTCCCCGAACCCCGCACATAGCGGGAGCTTAGTGCACCTGACTACCCTTTTCTTTACTGACCAACTAATGAGATTCACATCAGGTAAACCCAATAAGAGGGTAAAAACGATCTCACCAAGAAGTTCTTTATTCCCATGACACGAACCCAAGAACTCACTTCAAAAGTGAGAGATCACAACCATCCTACCACTCCATGGTACAAGTAGTGTGATTTGTTATGCAAACTTGGAGTTTGAAGAGAACAATTATATGGATATTGATTTGACATTAATGGAATGATATTCGAAACTCTGATGGGACTTATGTTAAATGGTAGATTTTGTCCCTGTTGTTTAGATTCAATCAGAGATACTTGAATTAATATCATAATGTTTGAATTCATTGTTCAAATAGCTCAGCAGTTATGCCCTTGGTTGAAGGGTTAAAAATCTTACCAGAAAATTCGAAGCACCAAGCGAAAGAAATCCATTATCTTTAGATATCTGCTATGGAGAAAGAACAGTACTGCAAGAATATTTTTATGTTTACAAGCAACAGTAATGCAAGGTTCTAATAGCTTCAATAAATCAAGGACAGAATTGGTAAGCCTATAGTAACATATATTTTGCATTTTTGAGGTGAATTAATGTTTACTATTACAATACAAGTAACCAGTACTTTTAATGTCCAAAAGCTTGCTCAACTAATCACATTTAAATGTATGTACAACAACATATGTCAGCTGAAATATCATCAAATATGGTACCTTGTGTGTTACGACATTACATGCCCCAGATCCCTCGAGCTGATGCCACTTTGTTGCTTGGCCGTGATGTTAGTTCGTATAGTATTCTGGAAAATATGTCCGAGTATCTTGGGTCACCAAAAAGCATCTCCGCAAATGCATTTTCATACACTAGTAGAAGAGGCTTGTTCTGTGGCTCTGATACAAGGTTTTCTAAAATAGTTGCTGCTTTCCTGCACACTTCTGGTACTGGATGTGGCATCTTAATCACTTTCAACAGTCTATCAATAGCCCTGAAGTTCAATTTAGTGGATAAGTCATTCAGATATAAAAGTTAATAAAAATATTATGACTAGGTCAGTTAGCCTGTCTTACCATCGTTCACTAGCCAGCTTCAAACGGCAGTCCATATTTATTTCGGCAAGGTTATATAATGCACCAATTGCAGCTGCTTGAGCATCAGTAGCTGGTTGGCTCATGATATCAACTAAACGTTTATATATCTGCGACGCACAAATTAAGGTCAATGGGTTTTTTGAATATTCACATAGTACATATAGGATCTCTAGAATAAGGGCTGTCGAAAAGGAAGGATATCAACCTGCGAAGCAGAAGGAAGTAGGAAAGGTTCATTATCAGGATTTATTATAATACGACCAATTAATTCAGCAGCAGCACAATGCCAGGCCTTGACAGCAGATCCCAACACTCCCATGACAGCCTGGACAGCACGTTTCTCCCTGGATAAAGATCGAGAAACTCAATTCAATTTGACTTACAATAAGCGAAACAAAAACTACAAAGTCACACACTTACGTCATTTTGATAAAAGAAGGTTTCGAGGAACTGAAGATTCGGAGATCTATCAATGGACCTATATTCACTATCGTCTCGAGGGCATTTGTGACAAGTTCTTCATCCTCTGTTAACATAAGAATCCAAAGATGACAAAAAGCACAAGAAGCGTGCTCAAAAGAAAATTACAGAAAACACTTAACATTCAGATTAAGAGAACTGCATTTTAACAAATTCTTCTTTGTGCAGAGTAGGACGTATCTAATTTGATCGTCTTCTTTTTTTAAGGGGTTCTTTTATAGGGCAGGTTGGGATGCAGGATGAATGTAAAGTCTATCGAATTATAGAATAAGTCAAGACATCATCGGAGACTAGGAATAATAAAAATAGCCGGGCAGGTATACTAAAGTCAATGTGTTACACAATGGAATGAGTCTTCTAATGGATTCCAAGCCATTTCGTTAGACTTCACCAAGCTAGTAGAGCAACATTATATTCAAGTTTTACATCGAAGGTGTCAACTCGAACTGCATGAGTACATCCAATAGGTTGATATGAGAGAGAGAGTGAAAGAGAGAGAGAGAGAGAGAGAGAGAGAGAGAGAGAGAGAGAGAGACTGACTAACAAGTACAAAAGCTATATAGCGGACTGGAATATGTTTGAAAGGTTTGGATAGGTTTTCAATGGAGATACAAGACATAATTTCCACTTCAATTATAACAATAAAATATTTCCACTTCAATGGGAGAAATTAAACCCAGAATATTCATTGGGGTAGCAGGTCAATTGGAGACATCAACTCGTCAAAGAAAGACAATTTCAAAATCCAGCTAAATTATAACCATGAAGACAACTTAAGAAAAAGAGCACCAGATAGGCAGATACCACATATGTCAAACATTATAAGTTTCCGTAATAGAAATGTGCCATTGCACAGATGTCAAGCTTGTAAGCACAACATAGAGAACATAAATATCAAGCAGAGTTTCCTTCACACCTGTAACATAATCTGCCAGACATTGGAATAGAGTTTCTAAGCAATGTCTATGCTGGCCCATGATGACTTCATTATCTGGCATAAAAGAGAAGTTGCGGAGAATGTTTGAAGCAGCAACGGCGCACTGCTGCTTTTCAGATCGCCCCTCCTCATCCAAATTAAATAAGCCATCTTCCTCAAACCACCAACCCGCAGGGCGAGACTTGGTATTACTCTTCTGAACAGATGAATCTCTGTTGGCAGCTCCAGAACCAGTGCTGTCATCAGGGATTACAAACAGTTACAGAGATCTCATGCACTGGAAATAAAGAACGTAAAAAATATTAAAGTAATAAAAGCTTATAAAAGAAGAGACCGGGAGATTGAAACCATCCTGAGTTACCTAGGATTAGGTACAGATTCATTCGAGTTCAATGCTTCATATCCAATTCCAAATCCAGTAACAGCTGAATGTGCACCCAAAAGCCGCACACGAGGTGCCTTTACAAGTACCCTTGGCAACGCTATATCACGCCAATCATCTATCTGTTTAACAGAATATTGACATTATCGTTCACACACAAAAAAAGTAAAGAACAAATAGAAGTTACACAGGAATCACATGTTATGTGGTAGATATCAAGAAACATACAACTTGAAGTAGAGCATCAAGCAATCCAGGAATTTTGGCAAGAGGAGTTGCATCCTTACGGATGTCATCTTTCTCCTTGAATGATAGCAAAGTGAGCGTATTTAGTGCCCATGTCAGCTCACCCTTTAATCCACTTTGAAGAGCTAGAACAATCCTTTTATTATTCTGTTCTGGTAAAGTAAAACAAAACTTTAAGATAAATAAATAACAAGCATGCAAGATAATGGGCTGGCATCATCCTATTTCCACAGCCTTATCAGAATAAATGCCTCTAATTTTTTCTCAAATTTAACACGTAAGTCAATTTTTCAGTACAAACATCCTCTTACATAAATCTTGAAGGAATTTTAGCTTTATAGTTAGTTGAGATAAAAAACAATCTGGTTCACTTGGCTTGGGTTGACCATGGGAAAAGCAAATACCTTCCTGCTTTAACATGCAAATCCTACACATTACTCTTTCATTTAGTTCTAGACCTAGTTTGCTGATCATACAATCATAGATCAAGTACACGATGTCACTCTATTCAACTCCCATAATCGAATATACATGAGTAAGTAGTCAATGCAGTCGAATCATGTGCTTCAAGATTTATAGTGTCCAAAAATAATTAAGTAAATCAATGTATGTTCTCTCTAACAACTTAAGCTTTTAGATAAGATGGCCACACATTTTAACATGATATTAAAGCAGCCAGAGGTCCTGGGTTCGAGTCTCACTGACACCTATTATCAAAAAGAATTTCCACATGTTTTGGCCCATGAAAAAAAAAAGAGAGGGTGTGTTGATACATACTTAATTAAATAAAAGTATGCTCTCTCTAACAGTTTAAACTTTTAGATGAGATGGTCAAACATTTTAACATATAGCATTCCCTCTTACAAGTAGAACGATTTGCATTCCATCTTCGGCTTAAATAGACTGGTCGTGGGAATTTGGACTCTCCATGTCTTCAATTTTACGAAACCTTATTAATACCCTATTTTCTTTTGTAAATAAAAACACAAAGTAAAAGAAACTTTTTATTTCGGAGAACGAATATTAAAGGGGCAAAGCAAACAAAAGAAAAATAATTCCCAAGTTTCAAAACCTCAATTAAGAGTGAGTTTTTACCTTTGTCCCTAGGTGACACTATAAATTTGTAAAACTGAAGTAAGTAAAGAGGGGTAAAAAATGTTGGAGACATAATGAGAATCTTTGTATCTCACTCTACTTGGGGCTATCTAGATCACATCCCAAACAAGAAGATCATTATGTCTCGTAACATATGGCTTCAAAGAATTTGTCGTTGATCATGTACTGTAATGGCTTCTTTGGACCTTTGGGAAAAAAAGAAAGAAAAAGAACTTATTCAGCCCATCAGCCGAAACTAAAACTGCAATGATCCAATAGGAATTGTGTCAATAGCAACATTATCTTCAAATGAAAAGATGAATTACCAATTATTACTCCTTCCATCCCAATTTACATGCACTCTTATAGTTTTGGGACATCCCAAAATATTTGACATTATTCAATTTAAATCACTTTCAAGAATTCAAATGTCATTGAACCATTCAAATTTCAAACTGATGTGATGGTTTCTTTATCAAACTAATTTTTCAACTAAGACTACAATATCTTTTTATTTTATGAAGTAAGGGGAATTTTAGGTTAGGGGTTGTAGGTTAGGGTTGTAGGTTAGGGGGTAGTCAAGCATTTTTCCTCGTTGTGCTGGCTAGTCTGATAGTGTTTTGTCTAGGACTGCTAGCGGTTTTTGTTGTGTTTCACATTTTGGCCTTTCTATTTATTTATTGTCTTTTACGATGCTAATTCTATTTTTCAGGTTTCTGTTGTTATTACGGATCTATTGTCTATGAGCCGAGGGTCTCCCGAAAACAGCCTCTCTATCCCTCCGGAATAGGGGTAAGGTCTGCGTACACTCTACCCTCCCCAGACCCTACTTATGGGATCCTACTGGGTGGTTGTTGAAGTAAAGGGAATCTTATAGATGGCATCCAGAAGATGCAAAAAGTACAAAAAAGAGAGTACATAGCAAAGGAATCAGCTATGAGCAGAAAAAAGCTAAGCAAGAGCTAGGAGCTAACAAAATCACAAAACTAAAGAAGTTAATATGGCAATATGCAGGATCTAAGTTGTGCCAACTATACAACCATAAGGGTTGTTTGGTGTAATGGTGGGATATCCCATGGGATTAGTTATCCCACCTTCTATATGGGATAACTAATCCCACCATTTTGGGGTAAAAGTTATCCTCGAATTAACTAATACCCCAAACCAAACATAGGATAAAGTTAATCCTAAACTTTATCCCGGGATTATCCTTATCCCATGTACCAAACGACCCCTAAGAGACATCTAGCCTTAAGAACCATAGGAGGAGTTGATATCCCATCAAAGCATCTGGGATTCCTTTCTGTTCAAACACAACAAACCAAGACTATAATATCTTCTTATCATCACATAGGTCTGAGGCGGTTACCAGGCTTTTTTCACATTGCTTTACATATATAGGTTGAAAGTTCCAGATTGTTAATTATCAAGTGGAATGAAATTCTCTTTAGCTTCAAGTTTTGCTCCATTTACTCAAGTGTATTGTTGGACTTCCATGTTATACTGTCCACGCTCAAAATGTCAAGTCATAAGAGTGTGGGGTTATTAGAATTTAGAGTGTCCTGAATTGGTTGCGCGAATGGGTTGTTGCTCCTTATATGGTCTTTGGTATCCTCATATCTTGATCCATATTCTTTACAGGTACAACACCTTGATCTTTCCTTACAGACACATTCCTATCAAATAAAGTCACACCTCTAACCATTATATATTTCAAATCCCTAAGTTTCACATGTCTATTTTGCTCTCTAATTCTCAACCTCCTAGTCATGACCTAAAATTGGAACATAACCAGCGGATAAAGGCTGATATGATGTACAACTCACAACAAGAAAGCTCAAAATTTTATAGTATCCAATAAAAATTAAACATGAAAAAGCACAAAGATGCTTCCTTTTACAACTTTTTACACCAATAAATTCATGAGTCAATGTATTCAAAGATATTTGGAACTAACCAGCGAAGGCAGAGTGAACTTGCAGGGACGGGCCGAGGAGAGTTGAAGGAGCTGCTGAGTCAGCTGCTGCAGCTGCTGCTGCGGCTGCGTTGCTGTTTACGCTTCCCAATGGCCGCCCCCTTTTCGCCGGCGGTGCGGCGGAGCCACCCGTTGATCCGCTTAGCTTCGCTTGCTCTCTTTTCTGCATTCTCTTTTTCTCCTATGTTTTTCCACTGTGAAAAGTCAAAGAACTTGGTGCGAGGAGGTCGGGTTTCGGATCTTGCAGAACTATGGGCTTAGCATTTTATTTGGCCCAAGTTATAGCCCATGGACTTAAGCATAGGATATGGGCCAATCTCAAAGGGAGAAATTCAAAAATAGCCAGATTTACAAATGTTCGTTCAAAAGTAATTGAAATTTAGCCACTTTTCATGTAAAGATAAATTTGAACAAAAACACTGTTCAAAATCCGAAAAATACTCCAGCATAATATACTAGAATTCCAGCATAAGTATACTGGAACTCTAGTATATTATAATGGAGTTCCAGCATAAGTATATTAGAACTCCAGTATATTATACTGGAGTTCCAGTATAATATATCGGTCTAGTATAATATGTTGGAAGTTCATACGTAGGTGCTCCAATCTCCAGTATATTATGATGGAACTTTCCGCCTGTTGGAGTTCCAGCATGATATGCTGGAAGTTCATACACAGGTGCACCAATCTCCAGTATATTATGTTGGATCGGTCCTTGTTGCGGCAAAATAGTGGCTATTTTTCAATGACTTTACAAACGCTGGCTATTTTTGAATGACCAGTCCGAAAATTGGCTAGCCCGTGCTATTTTAACAATTTCAAACCCTCGTCAACTAAAATAATTGTAGTATTATTGGGCCGTGTAGACGAAGGTGTAGTTGAAGTTTAGAAAGAAAAAGAAAAATTAAGGAATCTTTACCCAAATAGCTGGTCGAACTCACTGTTTATTTTTCTAGCCCGTATACATAAATTATATACGAATACACATATTATACATCAATTATACATATATTATATCATCTGTCAGCTATTTTAAGTTTAAACGCATGGGTAAGTAGTTATTTAAGTTAATTCTTCAAAATTTGAACCTAAATAGGCGTCCCCTAACCATTTAAATTAAAAGTATATAATATATATAAAATTGTGTATAATAAATATATAATTTATATATACTAACTTTAAAAAGTAAATAGTGAATCTGCTGGTATTTTGTAAAGATCCTTTGGAAAAAAGTTTGTAGAAGTTAGATGCTTGGAGAGTTATAGTTTTTCTAGGAAAAAAGCTTGTGAAAGTCAAACAATTATGAGTAGAAGTTGAAGATTTGAAAAACATCACATGAAATACACCTTCTAACTAATAATTTTTACTTGAAAAAAAGAAGCATAATAGCCTAAATGGCACCTATACTTGTGTCACTTTGTCATTCGGGTCCCTGTATTCAATGAAGTTTCATCCAGACACCTGAACTCAGTCAAAACATATATTTTAAATCTCTCTGACCGTTGACTAAGCTTATGTGTCATTCATTTTGCTAAGTTAGAAAAACGAGTGATTACATGCTCTAAAAATGAGAGTGGGTATATTTATTTGATTTTAAAATATTAAAAATATTAAAGAATAACCATAAAAAAGAAAAAGAGTAAATTAATTTTCCAACCCAACCCAAGTACTCTACGCGTTTCCCCACCCTTCGTCCTTATTCCCCCTGTTTCTCCCCATCTTCTTCTCCCCCCCCCCCCTCT